CCACCACCACCACCACCAACAACAACAACAATCCTCAGGCCCCAAACGCCATCTCTGTCCAAGACATAGAACAGAGTGGCCTGAACGACTGCACTCGACCCGGTTTTCGAGGGGGCAACTCAACCGTGATCACAGCACGGCTGGTATACCATCATTCCCACCATGCGTAAACACACCTATCCAACAGACCAACTTGCCACAGTCCCAATCTATGCAGCACTGAGCTGTCAGTCCCAGGGGGAGAGGCTTAGAACAGGCAGGGTAAAGGCCAGTTTCAGTGGACGTCAGCAATCAAGCCTCGGCTAAGATGGACCCCCTATTCGTTTGCACTCGCAAAGCAAGAGCACAGTTCTTGCTCTAGGCCACCTTGCCAAATCACATGCACGTAACTTTAAAGCGCAAAGAACAACTCGCAAAGTAATGCAGTCACACAGCACTTTCTACATGGGCGGTAGATGGCCCACGTGATTCCCAAGACCGTTCATGACCGGTCGCGCAATCCCTACAGAAGAAACTGTAAAGTGCAATTGAATTCCTCCACTCCTATATACCCTGTACAGGACTTAGGATAGACAGATGCCAACCATTGTGATCTTGAAAGATTGAGTTCTGTGACATGGAAACGCTGAGAATCCTTCGTAAACGTCGTAAACGCAATTCTGTCTACGCCAGACGCAAAATGTCTCTTCACACCCGTCTTCATGCACCCTTGCCTTCATCTCTGCTCGCTGCACACCTCTAGAATCGCCCTGTTCGACATCTCGCGCGCCTGGGCCGAAAAGCCATTTAGGTCAGGGGGATTCTGTATATTTAAGGAAGGCACACAGTGATACAAGATGTCATCCGAAAAAGCAAGAAAAACAAAGATTCCTCGACTCCTAGTCTCACAACTAGGACTTCATGAAGACTTACGACACTGGTTTTGTCTTTCTGTGTGCATGGCTGCGTTTGCCGATGTTCTTGTTTTTGTCCTCCTCAATTGCCTGTAGCGGCACATCGAGTGGAGGAGTTTCTTGCATGCAAGTGAAGTGTGTAAGGCAAAGTAATTGGTGCCCACTTCTCACACCAAAGGTGTTGGGAGAATAGCTTGGGTGAAAAGGAGTTCAAATTCTCTAGGATGCCAGCCTGCGCTGCTTGCGAAGCCTGCGCATTGCACTGCGAACATGATCTGCTTGTACTCTGTTTTCTTGTCGGCAACATTCCGAAGGTAGATTCAGCATTGATTCGGCTTTCCAGCCTCACTGCCAAAGCCGTAGGGCCAGATTTGCGATCTCTGCTCTTCCGAAAGACGATTGGCCTAAGCTCCAATGCAACCTGCTTGGCCAAAGTGCTCCAAAAAATTATGATAAGCCTCTTAGAGATCCAGAATATGTTTCGCTTGGATCATCTTTATCATCCTTCCTCTCCCTGCAACTCTCTCGCTTCTCGAAAGCTCAACCGACTCAACCGGTGGACCCACAGATCCTGAGCGAGCAGGCAGCTTCCAGGATGGCACGGGCATCCTCGGCCAGATCCTGCGCAGCTCACGGATCTGGCCGAATCTGGCACCAAACTCTTTCTGAAGAGCTTTGGAGTTCAACCATTTGCTGGCCTGCAATCAAAAAAGACCTGAGAAGAGTTTCTTGTCTCAGTTCCTGTGCTGAGGCAAATCCTCCCATAGATATCGTGTTGGCAAATCTTGGGTCTGTTTCCGGAACGGTTTGATTCTTTAGTCGTTGCTCCATATTAACTTGGCAAACCTGTATCCGATCTTGGCGATGACCTGAACTGTGTCCCTGTCCCTTGACACAGAGTCGGTCCTCGGCGACCTTGGAATTGGCAAGAGGATCAGCTTCTGATTGTACGGCCTCAAGTTTGCTCTGTCTCAGGCATCCTGTCTGCTTCAAAAAACTGGTCCTTCATATCTCTTATTTTCTTTTTCTTCATCGAATCTAACTGTCCTTCCTTTCTATACTTTTGGGTGGAAAAGGGGTGGGCTGTGAAGACCGGTGATTCTCCTGCCCTACAACGAAAAGCCTTTCCCCTGAAGAAAACCCGTCTTTCTGCATGAAATGAAACCTGCTGTGTCAAGAAATTCAGCTTGCACTTCACGGGCCATCAGGATCCAGACACTTCCAATCTTCATCCATCTTCTATCTCTGCAGATTCTCCAAAGAAACACAGCGCGTCAAACACCCGAGCGCGTCTTTCACCCAGTTTTTCGGCCCGTCACACCACAGAACGAAAACCCCAAGAATAACACCTTAAGGAACCTAATGGCGATGGCCTCCAACCTAATAGCCATGGCTTCCAACCTACTAGCCATGGCCTCCAACCTAATAGCGATGGCCTCCAACCTACTAGCCATGGCCTCCAACCTAATAGCGATGGCCTCCAACCTA